CACTGCTCTGCCCATCACAGGAATAAAAATTGCTTCCCAAGTCTAGCCTTCTATTGAATCATATAATAAAGAAGGAGCTACTATATATTATTACATTTTTGCTATTGTTATTTTTTAGTTTTGGAATGGTAAAATTAAAATTATTATTAATAGAAACAGTTATTAGTTTAATATTCTCAGAGGGAAGTAATCTATATAATCCTAGATTCCAACATCTATTTCTAGTTTCATTAACAGAATACAAATGATGCTTTACACAAAATGCTGCTGCAAAATTATAATCATGCTAATTAGAGCCAACACATTTCCAAAGCTATGGTTTATAAATTTACACATTACTCTCTTGATTTGTTTAGTCTTAATAGTAATAACATAGTAAATAGCATAGTAAATTAAGCAAGTATTAAATTGTTGGTTTTACTGGTGACCAAAAAAAAAGTTTCTTAGACTTCAAGGTAATTAAACTGAAGAGAGTTTTGCAACTGAACATTGAAAGTTTCTCTCTTAACACGAGATTTAAAAGAACCAAGCCAAAAAGACACAAGGGGATAGATTAACCTAAACAAACACAAAAATAAACTTAGCACCTTCTCACATGGTATAATTGATGACCCACCTATGGACACTGGAAGATGACTGTTATGAAGATAACATCAGAAATAATATAAAACTACCAGAGTTACACCACTGTACAGTTATGCTCCTGAACAAAATCTTGCATCCCTCTACTCCCTCTTGTGAATGTGAATGCTTATTTAAATGCATTCATCTCATTCATAGTGTGTGATTTGTGACACAACAGAAGAATATTCTTTGTTGCAATGGGTTCCTTTATTCTCCCAGACAACTGAAGGTCAATATCCAACTAAGCATGGATGAAATACAAGGCCATATTTAGGTTGCATAACTTCCACTAAGAAAGTTAAGAAATATCCATTTGGTAAACAGGGAGCTGGTGTCCCTGGAGACCCATGAGAAGGGCCTGGGAAGGTGCTGAGCAGTGGGTGAACTGCTGGGGCCAAGCAGTGGGGAGAGGAGCTAGAGGAGCCCTTGGGAACAGAGGCAGTCTCAGTGCCCTCCCGCCTGTAAAAGTCCGTTGAGACCTGACCTCCACCCAAACCAACAAATAAAGAGTGTCCTTGTCAGGGAAATAGCTTATTCCCAGTCTCAAGAGCTGTGTGCAGGAGGCAGTTTCAGTCTAGTCTCACTATACATGATTACACATGACTTATGACCTGCTTTTTTTGTTTTGTATTGTTTTTAATTTACAAAAAGAAACTACCTGTCTGTCTATGTCAATCTGCTACCTGACAAATGGGATCACCTTGCTTAACATTCACCTACTCTCTTGTGGCTGGGGTGACTGCCTTCAAAATATTGTGATGAATTTCATGCAGGGTGGATTTCATGTAGGTTTGCTAGGGACTGCAGAAAGAAGAGTTAAACATCAAGATTTTTCTGAGACCATTATTTTAATTTTAGGCTGTTACTATCAGTATCCCTGTACTTTCCATCATATTTCAAGTTTGGACCTGAGTCCACACACACGTCCACATTTCACCTGACTTTCACTTTGTGTGGAGGCCAATCCATACTTAGAAATACAAAAATAATAGAGTAATAGCACAAAATAGAAAAAAACTCTGGGAAACAGTGTAAGAAGAAAAACCCATAGGCTTTTACAAGCCTAAGCTATGCCTGAACACACCACTCCCTGTGGTTTTGACTGAATAAACATATTCTCACAAGTTGCCCCAGGTAACCCCTTTGTCACTGCCACTAAGTCAAGAAATCACTTCAGAATCGTCCTCATTGTGAAATGTCTCAAAGGACAAGTAACATTTAGAGATAGCCTTAACATTCGGGATGTCATGAATAATTGCACACCTAAGGCTTAGGTACCAACCAGGAGTAACAACCTGAGTGGAGCGACTGGGGAACTTTGCCTATGGCAAACTGGGTAACTAATTGCCTCTGCAACTGGGGGCAGCAGCTGCTGGAGTGGGTCAGAAACATCAGCAGAGAAGAAACAGCACCTGAACTGCAGCCCAGAACACAGACACTGCTGCTTTTCAGGGCTACGAACACCCTGTTGCTTAAACAGTAGATGGGACAGCAGGGACCCAAAACATTTTCAATGTTAGGTTATTATTACACTTTCAGGCTAATTACTGGAGAAGATTCCTAAATGCAAGAAAAGAGCTGAATTCAGAAGTAAATCTGCTCTTCTCCCCCAAATACTATGTTTATGGGTTTTTTTCTTCCTTGAGCTACTGCATATCTTGTAATGTGCTTAGACTCCAGGATTGGAAACCCAACAGCCATGTCCTGAACAACCAGCAGTCCAGGACAAAGAGGAGACATTCCTCTCTAAGGCAAAAAGGTGCCATGTTCTCAGCTCTTCACACAAAACAGGGAATCAGTAGCTCAAAATGGAAAATTAATCATCCACAAAATATAAAATGACAGAGAAGTCAATGAAACATAGCATCTGACTGGATGAGCCTTCAGACTTGAGAAGTTTCACCAGAATCAGGTCAGAAAAGGAAGTTTTATGTAATTGTCACTTTGAGATTCTCCCTTTTATCTCTGGCATGCTGAAGAATTCTATGTATCATAAAATCTCTGGTCTTTCCTCTTCCCAATGACAGGAATGACACTATTTAAATCAAACAGCCAGGAGGCAATTCACATAACAAAATATTTTTAACCATTTCCAAGGAACTGCAGTAAATCTGGAAGTGTGCAGTTGTGCAAATGGTAAAAAAACAATGTGAAACTGAACAGTACTCTCCCTGTTTTACCTGTATTTAGAGAAAACCTAGCTTGATACCACAAAAGCAGCTTCTGCAGACATCCCCCACTGCTGCCAGGCTTCACACGCTCTGTGCCCCACTTGTTAGACTGCCACAAAACAAATCATTAATCTCTGGCCAGCAAGTTGGTCAGCAGTTTGAACAGAGTATGTAGAAGCTTGTGCAAGGGCAAAACAGTCTCAGTAAAACACAGAACCCAAGTGCCTGCTGATGTGCCAGGGCTGGTGAAAGTTCCCGAGGTGCTGAGGCTGACTGGGCAAACGGGACACAGAATCATGCAGTTCCAGAACATCCCTTTGCTCATGCTGGACCTGTCACATGAAGCAGCTACCGAAAGCATGTGGAAACAGCAAGAATGTGAGTTCCTTTCCCCTGCGTTTGATTCTGCAGCCACCAAAAATTATTCTAAAAAACCTCAAATACTTACTTTTCCTAGCCTTCAGTAAAGAAATCACTCTAGCGAACACCAAGTTTCACTGGTTTTCATATGCAGATGGCTGTAACAGTGTCTTAGTCTGGAAAAAAACCCACCTATTACGTTATCAAGAATATATATAAATTTTCAATGGAAAATTGTAGTCAAACAAAGCATTGCTGCCAGAACACCTGAAACAACTTTGGTAGATAGACTCTTCTGAAGAAACTGAAGAAGTGACAGCATAAATTAATGGGGAAAAAAAATCTGATTTCCCATTGTAACAATCTAAAGTTTAGCAGATAAATAGGATTTGTGCCTATGTTTTAAAATATCCTTTTTATTTAACGGCAGATTAAAAAAAAATATCCAGCAATGCCAGCAATGGCACATAGAGAACCTGTGTGATACCACTATCAGCTGCAGCTGTTCAGTTACTCAAAACTTCCCACACCAAACCAGAAGTTTTTAAGACACAGCAGCAAAGGAGGCATATTGACACCCAGGTGATAGGAAGATTAAAGCAAATTGTATTAGGGTGAAAATTCCTGTAAGGGGGGAAAAAAAAATAAATAAAAATAAAACCCAACCAAATACCCAGAATAAAATCCCAAATGACTGAAGTCTGAACTGAAACATTCTCAGGTTTTCACATAAAACTGCATTATTGTCCATGCAAACTGTTCTCATGATCACACAGTCTTTCGCAGTAGCACAACTCAACCCAGGATAGTTAAAATCAAGAGTTGTACTAGGTAGTATCACATAAATGAACTTGCCAGAGCACATGCCAGCCAGTCGTGATACGAAATGATTCTTAATTCTACTAGTTTGACTGAAGTGAAGTCAATGGAAGATGCACCATCTCCTAACACACAAGATCTACGGTGGGATATACTGCAGGGGCCCACCACTGCCTGCCCCAGCTCTGAACAGGCTAACAAGTTATGCTTTTTTCCCATTCTATTCAAAACCACAATATATGCAAATATTTTTATTCATAAAAACATTCAGTCCAGCCTACTCTGAAGGCTGAACTCCCCTCCCACCTTGCTTACAACTTGGAAGCTCCATGGCTCATGCCATACAGGAAACCTTTAATGTGCCAGGAAAACTAATCACATCAAACTTGCACAAATACTCAGACCTCTGAAAGAGGAAAAGTTCACCAAGGTACACAGGATCCTCTGCATGTGGATGACCAGGCATTGCAGATCTGCAGTGGAAATCAGCTGTGCTTTTCATATTTGAATCTTCAAGTTTGTGCTGATCATAACCCAGTTTTCCACAAATTTCATCTGGTTAACATTTTTCTTCCTATTCTTCCAAGGGGAAAGGGTGCATTACCTGTCTGGGCCTAAAAAGAGATCTTTCAGTCTCTAACACTAAATTTTGAGACACATCCATTTGATAAGAAAACACAGGAAAACATATATAAAAAACATTCTTTATTAATGATTTCAGAAGTCATCTTCTGAGTAATTATCCTCCATTTTTTGCAGCGGCCGCTGAACACCAACTATTAAATCTATGGAGAGAAGCTCTGTAACACAATGAAGAACTGAAGTGACTAACTGGTATTTGCAATACACTGATTCTAAGCCTTTCTCATTCACCAGTAGTGGCTGATTTTCTCTGAGTGTATTTATGGTTTTGAGATAGAATTTCATAAAGCTGTTTTGTTCTGCTGTCCTGTATAAGGCCTTGGGGATACTTAGCAGAGCATCAGCAACAACATTAGATATGACAGTTACCTCTGACTGCTGAAGCCATTTTGCACAGCACTGAATATAATAATGTAACAGGATTTCAAAGTAACCTCCTACTGGCAAAACTGAACCTGCTTCTATGAGGGAGCTGGAATAATTCTGTGCAGCGCTTGCACAGCTCTCTTTATGTTTCAACGGAACTATCTTGCAACTCGTTTTCTCTAGGTCTTTGCCAACATCTAGGCGTTCACCTGCAGTGGCTACATTAGCATAACCTGCTGTGGATACAGCAGTGCTGTGGTTCCCCTGATTGTCCAGACGTGAGTCACTACTACAGCTCCCGAGCCTGCCACCTGGGTGCTCGCATGTCACATGTGGTTCCTCTATGCCCCTTGTAGCTCCGTCACCTTCAGTGACAACACTGAATTCCTTGATGTGTGAGATGGGATTTGAGGGTATTTGCAAGTCTGTTTGCACACAGGCTGGACTTTCACTTCCCTCTAAAACAGCACCTACAATCTGTGTCTCTGTTTCAGGTGTTTGCAGTTCAGAAACCTGACTACCGTTACAGGAAATTCCTTCTATTACCAGCTGCTTTTGCATGGCTGAAGGATGGCACCTGCAAACATCTGAGGCTTCGCTCTGGCTTCCACCCTCTGCCTCGAACTCCTCCCTCTGATCGACTGTTTTGAACAGCTGCTGCAGCATTGTGAGCGCCCCTTGCAAAGCAGCAGCGTGCTGCTCAGTAACACCTTCCACCGGCCCGCAAAGGACGAGGCAGTGGGGCTGAAAGCTGCTCACGCTGCTGAAGCCGACGTGAGCCCATCGCTTTGAGCCCAGCAGCAGGGGCCGGCAAAACGTTGCCACCGCGGTTTCAGTGATTTCTCCGTCTGCGGTGTCACCAAAGGGCGAGTAAGGCAAGATCCCCGTGACCTCACTGATGAGGGCCACTTCTTCCGAGGACAGGCACTCCACCACGGACACGCCGTGCAGCTTCGCACAGCAGATAACCGCTTCCTCTTGCTTCACGCTCGACAGTAACAGCCTGACGTTGCTGCTCTGGAAGCGTTTCATGACGGCCTCCGTCCTGCCCGCGGCCCAGCGCACCGAGGCCCGGTACTGGCCCTCGGACTCGGCCACGAACTCGACGCCGGGAGCCGTGAGGGCGGCACAGAGGGGCTGCGTGAGCAGCACGGCCCGCAGCTCCCCGGCGGCGGGGCAGTAGGCCGCGAAGTCCCTGCGGAGGA